AATAATTAGTATGGGTGGGGGAGGGTGTCGGGTGTGCATTCAATAAAAACAAAGTTTGACATTTTTGAGGCCAAATTCTCGACAGTTTAATAATGTTGCAGGTAGTTCCGACGAGTTTTCCAGGCCGTACGATGCGATGCCATGCGATGAAGCAACGGTCAAGATTTTATTTCCGACTTCTCCTGCTTATTTACTCATTTTTTTTTCTTTTAAAAAAAACGATTATTTTTTTTATTTGGGACGTCCAATAACTATTGTCCTATATTTTTTTTTTAAACACAAATTTTATATTTTTACCCTTCATTCATTTATTACTTCTGATCTCTACCATACAATAATGGACAAATTTGTCAATTCATAATAAAAGACAATCACCTAAAAAATCGTGCAAATATACTTTAGGACAATAGAAATTAGACGGAGGGAGTAATAAAAAAAAAAAAAAATTGGTTACATAAGCCATGATTTGGTGGTGTTGGAATGGATACGATCATGGGTTCAAACTTCGACGTCTTCAGATCTCGTATGTCACATATAGTTCGTTTAGTATGACTTGACTTGTCGGATCTAGTTTGCAGACTATTAAGTTCAATTCGATCAGGATTTATCTGAAACGCATCCGAAAGATAACTATTGTAAATTCTCACGTTATAAATATATATACATATATATAGCTCTATTTGTTTGTGAGTGCTTATTTTAAAATTTATTACTACTATTCACTAGTTTTTTTAATTATTTTCTTATGTTTGATTCAAAAAAATATTTTTTATTATAGTAAAAATAATTATTTATTAATACTAAAATATTTTAAAATTTTACATAAATTATAAATATATCATTACACATATTATTAATATATACATAAAATATAAAATGTCATGACCTTCAAGTCACGAGTTCAAACTATAATGCCCCCAAATCTATCAGCCACACATAATTCGTCTAACGTGACTTACATGTCAAACTTGATTTGCAGAGTATTGAGTTCGACTCTCATCCAAATAATATAATAGTATTCTTTTAATAATATTTAGTAGTATTTAATATACTACAAAAGATCAAAAAATACATTAATAAAGTGAGACTAAGGGAGTATCAAATTATATTCATATTTTTTACGCCCATGGATTAGGTGCTTAATACTTTAGAAAATACATATTACTTTCGTCCGGCTTTAAGAATTTCATTTACTTTCTGCGTATTGATATTTGAATATTAATTATTATATCAAAACGTAATACAAATTAAGAAAAAATTGAAAAAATACTTCTATTAGTGTCTTGTAATACTAATAGAAGGACATTTGTACAAAAAATTATACAAATATAAAAATATTTTTAATGTTAAATATAATGACAGAAAAGGTAAATAAGACCTTTAGGGCGGACGGATGAAATATATGAATTTATATCATTTAACTATATTACTAATATAATTAAGATAATTAAATTTTAAACTAATCAACATAGATGCTCAAATTATAATTCAGAACTAGATTCTTATCGTATTTTTTAATTTTTTTATATTATATTAAAAAATAATTTTACATTTAAAATATTATATCAATACTATTTATATCATATCAAATAATTATTTAAAATCTCAAATTTATCTCCCAAACGGCCAAACCAACAAAAAAAAATATCTGATTTTAATCCGATCAAAAAAAATATAAAAATATTATATTTAGTTTTAGTTTGAAATTTAAAATGTAACTTAAATAGTAATTTGATTTAATATTTATAAAAATAAAATAATTTATTTTTATTAAAAATCGTGCCCACTTAATAATGGTAAGTTTAGTTTGGGACATAAACATGTATTGTATCTTATTGTTTATAAATTATGGGTTTATTTTGTTATTTATTAAAAAATATGATTTTATTTTTATATTATTTTAAAAATATTTTTTAGAAAATAATATATTTGAATTGAAAATAATACTCACTCCGCCTAATTTTTATTGTCCTAAAGTATATTTGCACGATTTTTTGAGTGATTGTCTTTTTGTTATGAATTAACAAATTTTACTTGTATGCTAGATATTAAAAGTAATAAATGAATGGAGGGAAAAAAAAATAAAATTTATGTTTAAAAAAAAAAAAGAATAATAGTTGTTGGACGTCCGAAATAAAAAGAATACAACATTAGTTTGTAGATGGAGGGAGTATATTAATATTACGATGAAATTTGAAAGCAAACATATGTATGGTTTGTTCACTGTATTTTTTAATAAATTTATTTTATATATTAAATATAAAAATTTATGTTGGTAATATAAAAAAAATATTTTGCATTGAATTATTAATTTTTTTTAATAAGTAAAATATATATTAGTTTTAATGTAGTTTTTCTAATAATATTTATAGAAAAACGTTTTATCTAAAAATAGTAAGGAACAAATCTATATTTTTTTGTCAAACAAATATCTAATTAAACAATTACTTAAATTTAAATTTAAATATCTAAACAAATTCCAAAATGACAATATAAGATTAAGCTTGGTATAAAAAATAAAATTGTAAAAAAACGATAGTAGAAAATAAATTTGTAAAAAAAATAAATTGAATATATATATAGAATGATAATTAATTCTTCTACTCGGTAAAATTAAGAATTCAACTAAAAAAAAAATACAATGATCAAGATGAATTGATCTAAAGGATATTATATATTGCAAGTAGAAAATAAAAAAGTAAACTGATCATTAAAAAACAATGAATAATAGAGATTTTCAGTGAAGTAATATTTCGTAAAAAAAAATTTGTCATATGTAATTAGTACTTATATTTAAATTAGGATCGACTAGAGATTTACCCAAAGCGTTCTTTCGAATAGCGCTTAAGAATTCTCATATTATCAAATAAATCAATCAATCAATCAAAAAAAGAGAAAAATCATTTATTTTTTATTTTGATTTCTTTTACTCAAATAGTTACCGAAAAATTTAGATATTTTTATTTTTATATCTCAACTTCACTACATCATAAGAGTTAGATATAAATAAGCATTGGGTAGTAGTGACACTAGGGGTTAATTTTATGATTTTTTTTTTTGCAACGACTTCAAATTTAAAGGAAGAAAAGTTATTTAAATTGACTTACCCACTCCAATAATTTGGCAAAATATTTAATTTATAGCAAAATGGACTTTATTATGTTCCATCCGCCCGTATCAATTTGTTTTTTCATTTAAAAATATTAAATATTAATATTATATTTACAAAGACCGTATCAATTTATTTTTTCATGTAAAATTTTAAATATTAATATTATATTTACAAAGAATACAAATTTAAAAAAAAATATATTTTTATTCGTATTGTATAATATAAATATAATAATATTTGTATAAAATATTATACCAATATAAAGATATCTACAATAATTAAAAAATAAATAAATACCTTATTAAATAAGAGAAAAAGTATATATTTTGTATTTAAAATACTAGTCTTATTTTATTCTTTAGTATCCGAAAATAGTAGTATAACAAGCCCAAACGGAATAATAATAATAATAATTGTCTAATCCTCATAGTTTTTAATAAAAAAATATAAAAATAATAAAATAAATAAATATTTTAGTAATACTTCTCAATAATTAAAAAATACACATATTTCACCTTTTTAAAAATCTTTTTATGGGTTTTAAAGGTAAAATTTATATTTACTGTAATATAAAAAATAAAAAATAAATTTTTATTTTTTTATTTTTTGAAAACTATTTTTTATAAATAATAATAAAAAAAAAACTATAAACAAAATCTTAAATACAATATATTAATAACAGTAAATTGTTGTCGAATTAATATAAACTTATTAAAATCATAGATAAGAAATTATTGTGCTTCAATTTGTTGAGCAATCAATCAATAAATTATTGAACTTTATTAGTAATAGTATTAAATATTATTCCATTAGTCCCAGTTAATTCGATTTTAGTGTGCTAGTGTAATTAGTAAGTCATTAAGAAATGTATTAATAAAAATAATTATAAATTAAAATTAATTAAACTAAATAGTTTAATTAAAATAAAAATTTTAAATTTTTTAAAATTTTAAAATATAATTAAAGTGTATAATTATATTTTTTTAAAAAAATAAAAAATAAATTATTTGGGACAAATCGAAATAAAAATAGTGGACAAACTATGTAGAACAGAAGGATATAAATGAATTTTATAATTCAATGCAGGTATATTATGAATCTAAAATATTAATATTTGTAATTTATATAGCAAACTTAAATGAATATATATATATAGTTCAAGAAAATACATGCCATTTAATAACTATAATCATTAATATGAATAAATCGATGAAAATTTGAGATGTGTTCTTTACTTCTTTTGACAATTATTTTAAAATTCTATGTATTATTTAATTTTTACAATTTTATATAAATATTCATAATTTATACTCATCAAATATTATATCATATTACTATTAAAAAACAAACAAACAAACACACTTGTATTTATTACAAGCGAGGATTAGAAGGCGCGCGTACTCAATAACGCATGTCAACAATTAGAGCCATGGTAAATTATCAGCATTATTCATTATTTATATGCATATATGTATGAATAAATTAAACAACAACAATAACAATAACAATAATAATAATAATAATAATAATAATAATAATAATAATTACTAAATGAGGAGTATATAACAAAAAAAATTTAAGAAAAATAAAAATTTTATTTATTTATTTTTTGGGTAAAAGAAAAATACAAAAAATCTTACTATTTTACTTTTAAAAAAATATGAATAAATTTAGATGACAAAAATAAAAGAAGTGAAAATAGATTTGATGGATGAGGGAGTAAAAGTTTGAAGCTTTTAAAATAAATTAGAAAAATTAAAATTTTAATATTTGATGAAATATATATATATATATATTTAATTTGATCATTTTTAAAAACTAACTAGTAAAAACAAAGTCATAAATAAATATAGATGACATGATTTTTACCTAAATAACAACACAAAAATCCAAAAAATGTAAAAGTAAAATAAGATCGAAAATGACACAAAATCGACAACTGTCACAAGAGCCATCTCAGTAAAACCCATTTATACAAATTTAATAAAATTGCTCAGTTAGCCGCCGCCGCCGCCGCCGCCGTGGAGGATGACGTGGCGGGGGACTCCGACGCGGACTCCGACCGCCCCCCTCCTCCGCCGGCGCCGGCGCCGTCAGAGTTATGCCGCCTCCGTTCAGGTGAGCCCGACGCCTCCCGAAACACCGGTCGTGGTAGCGCCGCCGTTGACGCGTAAACTCCCTTGGAAGTTCCACCGGAGGCCTCGCCGGTCGCGGCCATTGCCGCGTACTCCGGCGGCACCCATATGCCTCCGACCACCACGAACTGAGGCGTTTGCGCGCTGTTGCCGGCGGCGGCGGCGGCGTTCGTTTGGGTAGGCCGTCTCGTGTGGAGGCGGTATTTCTGAAATAAAGCAAAAGCGTGTTTTCTGAATTAAAAGAAAAGTGAAAAAATATATATAAAAAGCGTGTTTTTGGTATGAAGAGAATATAATCCGAGAAACAATCTTACTGGTGAAGAATTAAAAAGTAGTAGTTGATTCCTTCTACTAATATTTATTACTGTTGCTTTTCTTGAAATAAAAGTTAATTAACAATTTAACATCTACCAGAAAGATGTGAAAATCTAACGGACGGATGATGTGTTCTGTTAAATCTAAGACAATCACAGCCGTTGAAATTTGCACACCTGTAAATGGCTCTTAACTTCATCGTTTGTTAGCCCGTCGACCTTCATCAGCTCCCTGATCTGTTTTGGCGTAGCCACTGCAAAATTCAAGATAATCATGGCCAAAAATAAATAAATAAATAATTTTATTATTATATATATATGTATGTATGTACCGTGGGAACCACCGAGTTGTTGGAGGGCCTGCAAGAATCGTCGGTGCAGCTCCGGCGACCAACACCGTCTGGTCTTTCTTTGAGACTGTCCGTTATCTTTTTCTTCCTTCTTTTGGGCGGCGTCCGCCGTGGATGGCGGTGGTGCCGGCGGAGTCACAGCTTCGAAGGCGGCAGGACTTTTATCCTTCTTAAATGGTTGAAATGCGCCGCCGGCGTTCCTTTTCACCTCCATTACAGCGACTCTCCTCGGCGAACCCTAATTCCCAAATTCAGCCCCAAAATCCAGTCATTACTGGAAATTAAATTTCTATTTTTGATCGAAAATTAAAATCGAAGCTAGCTACCTCTTTAGAGGATGGATCTGAGGTCTGATTCCAGAGCTGGACGGATCGAAGCCAGTCGGATTTCTTCGAATTCTTGTCGTTATTCCAATCGCTTTCCCCATCTTTATTGCTGAAATCAGTATCGTCGTCCTCGTCGCCGTCGTCGTCGGAGTGCGACGAAGCCGATCTCTTAATCGGAATGAACTCCTCGAACACCGGCGCGTCGCCGGACATCTGGTCGGAAAATTCCTCCGATTGGGCTCCGGTCGTATTATTATTGTACTCCGCCGAGAACTGCTGCCTGCATGACTCAATTGCTGCAGAGAGCTCCAAAACGACGTCGTATTAATCACAAGATCAAAACTTTTCAGACCACTCAAAATTAATTAATTACCTTGAGTGACGAGGTGGAGACAGAGAGGAAGTTCGCGTCGGAAAACTTGAATCTTACGGCGCTCTTCTTCCAAGGCGAGAATGTAATTCCGACAGCTCTGCATTTCGCCGGAGAGACGAAGGCGATGATGGGTGGTGGTGTTGATCAGCATTTTTTTTAGTTAGAATTTATTTAATTAGTTTTAGCTTATAAAGAGGAGGGGAAATTGGGAGAAGCCGTTTGGTCTGTTTCTCTGCATAGACAGATCCGAATGAAAATACGAGAATAAAGGGATCTATACAGAATCATCGAAACAGAATTATAATAATAATAATAATAATAATAATAATATTGATAATAATGTTGACAATAATATAAACATACAACCACTGTGTGTACGTATATATTTATTTCCCGTTGGAGTTTAGGGTCGGCGACGGCGGCCGCGTGGCGCCGCGTCGCCTGCAGAAAACTCCGTAACGTGAAGGCTTGGGAGAGTCTTGATCCGATGAATAGTACTTGGAATTTTAAAAAATAATAATAATATAAAGAAAAAAATAAAGAAAAAGAAGAAGAAGAAGTAGAAGTTTTAAGATTTAGAGTGAATTTCTATTATTAATTCAATTAATAAAAACGTTAAAACAAATATTTATTTTTTATATTATATTTAAAATTAATTTTATATATAAAATATTATATTAATATCTATTTATATTTATTTACAATTATTATAATTTAAATTTTTATTATTCAAATTAAAAAAAAAATCAAGTTTCTAAATAAACACATCCTAATTAATTATTGAAGGCATGAATTGGTTTTCCTTATTATTATTATCATTATTAATTTTTTTAAAAAATATCAAATAAAACACTTACTGTTATTATATTATTTTTCAATTGTAATATAAAAAATAATAGTAATACAAATACGAAATATCTTTAACAAAAATAAAAAATTTAAAAAATAATATTTATTACAAAAAATCAAATATTCAATTTAAAATAATAATATACTTTATATTTTTACACAATTCAACTTACTATACACCATAAATCAACTCCTCTGAAAAAAACGGAGCAAGATCTTTGTTTATTTATTTTTTCGTCCCATCTAAATTATTTTATTTTTTATTTAAAATTATTTCATTTGAATAGCCTATTTTCATCTATAATCTATTCCATTTTTCATTCAATTACTAATTTACCTTCATATTAATTTTATCAAATACTATCACTTTTCACTTTAGTTTTGACCACACAAAACACAGATTGATTTTAATTTTTTTTTTATCTTCCACAAATTCATTCGCTGATATAATATTTTTTAAAAATTATTATAATTTTTTCAAGACAATTTAAGTGAGATAAAATAGTAGTATACTATATGTAAAAATAGTTTTTATTTTTTTACTAATCATACCCTTTTTCTTTTTTCTTTCTTCATATATACTTTACAATAATTTAAAATATAATTTATTATAGTTGAAATAATTTTAAAATACCAATATACAACCAAACCCAACCAAACAATCCCATAAGGTTAGACAATGCCCATCACAAATCATTTAAGGGTGTGTCTGTTTGGGGGTTATCTTTTAAGGGTGTGTTTGGTTGAGGGTTTGTATTTTGGATTGGGATTTGAATAGAAAAAATTTTGAATTTGAATAGTTCTATGATGTAATATAAATAAGAATTGATGTAATGTTTTGAATGTAAAATTGATTTTTAGTATAATATAAAAAAGAAAAAATAAATGTTTAATTTAATATTTTTTTAGGAAAAATTTTGTGGGAATAGTAGAAATCCCACAAAATCCCTCAAACAAACACACTCTTAAGTAAAAACTTTATTTGTTTGATTGATTTCAATTTTTTTTTTTTTCATAAAACATAATTGTTAATAAAAACATATTATTATATTTTACAAAATATTACATAAAACATATAATTTAATCAAAACTTAAATCATTATTTCAAATTTCAAATTAAAGCCAAACAAACCCAAGACTAATTTGTCATTGTAACCATTCAGAGTTATATATGGTTCTAAAAAAATACTCCCTCCGTCCCTTTATCTTATCTATATTTTGAGTCATTATATCTAAATTAAAAATATTTTTGTATTTATAATTTTTTTTTTATAAATGTCTTTTTATTAATATTATAAGACATTGATGAAAGTATTTTTTCAATTTTTTCTTAATTTGTATTACGTTTTAATATAATAATTAATATTAAAAAATTAACACGAAAAAAAAAAATAAATGAGATTTTTAGAACCGGACGGAAATAATATTATTTAAAATATATTATTTTCGTCTCACTTTATACTTTTAGTTTCATTTAGATAAGATGATTTAAGTAAAATATAATTAATAAATAATTAACAAGTGTATAAGCTGGTGGTGTATGAGTTGGATTTGTGACCATGAGGTTATAGGTTCAAACCCCCGACGCTGGGGTTTAATCAGTGCGCATTCTCGGATAAACACAAATATTTCGTAATAATATAAATGTAATTGTGTTGCTATGGATTCGGTTTGTTCATTTAGTATTTTTAAACATATAATATAATCTCAAATTAATATATTTATTTGCAAAGAATAAATAATTCAATACAAAATAATTTTTTCTTTTATTATCAATACAAATTTTCATATAATATATATATATATATATAAATTCATTAAAAAACTCAAAGTAACAAACCCTTTCTCTCACTATACTTATAAATTTCCTTTAAAAAAAATATATTACCTTTAATATTGATATTCTAGTAAAAATATTACGTTGGATAATGATTTAACTTGAAAATATAAACATAATTAAATATTAATCTCTAAATTCAATTTCAATAAAAAAAAAAATAGTTATATTATATTAAAAACAATCTAAATTCAAACAAAATCGAGAATATTCTACAGATGATTCGCACACGTTTTTATAGATAAGAACAAGAATTGTTTTGTCCTTTGCCCCCCGAAGTTTTGTGCTAATCCTGTTGTGCCCCCACTTAGCGCTCCCTATTTATATATTTATTTATTTATTTTTTTAAATAATCATTTCACAATTTTTATATTTTGACGTGAATGTTAGAAAATCCGAGTAAATAAAAATCAGTACACAAAAAAATGTGATGGAATCATTAGGGAATATTCCAGTGTTGTTTTCCATTGTCCAATAAATTTTAATCTCCCGACAACTATTTCAAAATATTCCGACATATATTTTTTTTTTATTCTTATTTAAAAATAAAAAATAAAAATTTAGCAATAGGAATATACCTTCACCGCATAATTGAACAACAATTTGATTCGAGAGGCTAATAAGACAGCTTAGCGTGGCTGCTTTTATTTATTTTAATATTGATTAGGAAAATTTATGAATAAATATTTTTAATGTGAATATAATATATATTTGTGTGAATTTTTTCTATGATCATAAGAATAATTGTTATTATAATATTGAAAAATAGAAGACAAGGTCCATTTGAGGGGGCATTCTTGAGGGGGCCACAGGCCTCCTGGAATATTCTGGTTCGGATAAGGTTATGGTGGGGATCAGGTACGGTCGAGTCCACGCTAAAAAGCAACGGTTATTATTATTATTATTTTATTTATGCAAAAATTATATTCGGGGTATTGGCGCATTAGAAATTAATTGGCACCGCTAAATATGGTTCAAAAAGCGGGTTTTTAGGTTCACACGCTTTCTGTTCGGAATCTTGATTTTAATGCTTGCTTTTAGAGAAAATAAAATAAAACAATATCTCTAAGGCGAATGTAACTATTTTTTTTTAATTTTTTTTTGAAGTAGATTAAAATATAAGATTTTTTATTAATATAAAAAATATAATTACTAAAAAAAATAAAATACATTAATAGTAAACAAATTACAATGTCAAAATAAATCCATTAAGAATGGATGTAGAGAATACATATTTGATTATGAGTCTATCGGTGAACAATTTGAATGTCATTGCTAAATTTTATATAGTTAATACTATTCAATTAACAACAAGTAATAATAGTTATGTTTTTTTTTTTTTTTTTTTCACACAGATATTTCAAAATTTATAATACTACTATATATTAATATTAAGTATTTTAAAAATATTATATTAAATAATTATATTTAATTAAATATTGCACTAAATATTTATTGTTTTTATTTTTCAAAAACTACATCAGGCTCTATGTATGTAGTGTCAATGTTTTTAATTTGTCTCACACGCTCCACTACTAATTTTTTTATTTTTGTTTGTCTAAATCAAAATATTTTATTTCATTTTTATTTAAAAAAAATAACTCTGAACTAAATACCAAAATATTATTACTATTTTTTAATTTTTCACATTACCTTTTTAAGAATAAAATAGACATTATATTACTTTTAACATTATATATCTATAAAATAATAATTTTTCTTAATGAAAAGTCAAATGGGAAGATTATTATTGGACGGAAAGAGTATTATAAAAATATTACTCTCTTTTCACTTACGGTGTCCATTTTTTTTATTTCCGTCCATCCCACTTATCTTGTCACTTTCGTTTTCTGGAAAAAAATTATACACTTTAATCTCATTTTGAATATTTTAATTTATAATTTTTTTAAATTTTAATTAGACTAATTAATTATATTAATCTAAAATTATTTTTATATAATAATTATTTTCACTAATATATTTTTAATTATTTAAAAGTTACATATTTCCTAAATTTTCGTATCTACCGTGGCAGAGGAAGTAATATATATATTAAAATAATATATATAATAATATTCAATTTACTCATAAAAATTAAAATTTCTAATACAAAATATTCAACTTGTTCTTTCATCATTTTTTTATGATATAATTCTTAATATATATATATATATATTATATTATATTTTATTATCTTAAAAAAAAAATAAGTATTCAATATAAAATATTAATTTATATATTTTTTCTATAATTCTCTACACTAAGCATAAAAAAGAAAAATTATATACACCAAAACACTAAACAAATAAACTTATTATTTTTTATATTAAAAACGTTAACTTTTCATACATAATATAAAAAAATACACTTATTGAAACACACAATATGAATGCACATGACTTATCCCAAATGATATCTTGGTGATTTCTTTATCATATTGTATGTATATATGTGTATATATATTCGTTGCTGATTTATATGGAATATTTTACAAATCTATTATTTTCTTGTCTCGTAATATTTGATTTGATTTGATTTTATTTTAATTTAATATATTTATATTTTTAGTAAATTTATCAATTTTATACATATTTAACCAATATAAAAATATATATATTCTCACTTTTTTTTTTCTTTTTCTTTTTAAACTATACACCGTTGTGATAAAGTAATGCTCATCTCTTCCTACTATATTAAGAATTTAAAATTCTTGAAACTACAATTCTTCAAAATGTAAAACAAAAATAATTAAAATATTTCTCTAAGTGAATGAGAGGATTGTGTAAAGCTCATATATATATATATATATATTATGAAAAGGGAATCATGGTAGAAGTTAAATAAAAAAGTATCGATGGAATTAAATGAAGTATAGTGAAGAGTATTGACGGACGCATAACACAACATATCCAATAAACACACTCTAAATTTCTATGTTTTTAATTCCATTTTTTGTTTTCATTATGTTTTTTGTCAATTCCTCCTGCATTTTTATGTTGATTTATGTATTTTGTTCATATTTTTTGCCTTCGAATTCAAGTTCAATCCAATTTTGTGTTTGTTCTTTGTTGGATTCTCGTTTAATTTCATTTTCTTTTACCGATCAGTTTGATACGAAACAATCTTTTATAAAAAGTTTTTGGAGTACTTTAGGAGACGCATACATCTATTTTTTCTTTACTTTCCTCATAGCCCCCCGAAAAAAAAATATCAAGGGTGTATTTATTTTGTGAGATTGTTGGATTTTTTTTTATAAAATATAGAAAATTGTGTAAAAAATATAAAAATAATGAATATGTGTAATGTACTCATTTTGTTGAAAAAAAGTGTGTGAAAAAATATAAAAAGAACAAAACCCAAGACTTCAGATGAAACAATATATATATATATATTAGTACAAAATTATAAACATCATTGGATGGTCTTAACAAGGCTACATGTATTTTTCTTGTTTACTTCACTTTTTTTTTTTCTTTTTTATTTCTTCTTTTCAAAATTTTTATTGTTGAGAAATAATCAATTTTGCCTAAAAATGTCTCAATTCACAACTACTTTTCATACAAAAACTACTTACGTGATTTGAATATTAATTTATGTTAATTGTAAATAAATATTTATAATTTTTTATTTATTTATTTTATATAAAATTTTATTCTCTATAAAAATCAGATATATATTACATTTATTTCATTAAATCATAATTATCAAAATAATAAAAAATTAATTTGCTAGAGTTTTACATGTTCTTGCAAATCTCCTCATATATTATTGTATTTTTTGAAATTATTTTTAAAAAATATTAAAAAAAAAGAAAAAAGAACCAAGCAAATGTCTGCAGATTTGCAAAAGCTATAGTCTCCATCCTGCATTAACGTGTACATTTTGTTGTTTTTGTTCATTTTGATTTAATATATATTTTTATTTTTAGTAATTTTGGACCATTTTATTTAATATAGATTATACTACTTTATTATATATACACACCATTATGCCATTACATTTATATTTAAATATAAGAGCAAAATTATTTGTACATCACTTTTAATTATCTATTATAATTAAAATATTATTATGTTTATATTTTATATTAAAAATAATTTTATAGGTTAACAAGGAATGAAATGATATATTTTAAAACAAAAAAATTAATAGAAAAATTTGAATTTTTTGTTTAAATAATTTTTAAAACAATATTTTATAAAAGAAATATATATAATTCAAATAATACCAAACTAAATTAAGAAACACATACACACATGGTTTGTTTTGCCTAATCAAGATTTTTATCGACCCAACTTTTAATATATAGTATAATATGTACATTTTATTCTTTTACAAATAAAATAATTTTTAATAAAAAATATAATTTTTTTTTATGTTACTAATATAATTTTTTGTACTCTAACTTCGAAAAAATCTGAAACTAAAACACAGTGTTCTTTTAGCAAACAAAACTTAACATATTTTTTTAAAAAATTAATATATCAAATATACTCATTATATTTATATTATTTATACAATTTCTATAACTCACATAAAATCTTTTTAGCAAAAAATACCCAACACATTTTTTTTTAAAAAATGAATATATCAAACATACTCGTTATATTATCTATACAATTCTCTATAATTCATATATTTTTTTTTTTCAAATCAAAACACAAAACAAACAAACCCTAAATAACACACTCTTTGTCTCATCAAGGAGGTGTAATATAAAAATTACAATCCCAATTGAACCCAAGTGTACACTGCTTAGCCTTTGATCAGTTGGGCCTAACAGTATGCTTGGGCCCTAAAATGACCATTCAATTATTTTATAGTCCATGAATTTTACTTTGAAATTAAATTCCACAGTATAATTGAATCACTATATCATTATATTTTAAGATAATACTTACTGCTGTACAAATTTATATATATATATATTTTTTATTATAATAAAAATATTTATATTTATATTTATATTATTTTTTCAGAAACATATTATTAATATCAAGTATAAACTTTTTATTACAATTTTTAATTTTCTAAACTCAAACCTCACAACTAAACATATCCATAATATTTTTATAATATTTTTCTATATAAATTTAATTATTGATATATATATATAATATATTTTTATATATTTTTGAGAATTCTTTTTATCAATAATGAAAATTTGAGTAAAAATTTCGAGATAGTTGTTTTATAATTTTTCTTTAAATTAATAAAGGTATTAATTGAAAGAAAAATTATTGTTAAAGCTGTTGCTATTAATTTATTATTGGGAGTAAGTTGACGTGGCAGACAGGCTTAAAATACTTGTGCGGTTTAGAATGATCTTGACCGTTGAAATATGAATAACACAGGTGGGAACTGACGGTGAAGATCTTCCAATTAAACAAGTGGAAATGAAAAGCATTTGAAAATGTAATCAGACATTAGTTAGGACGCCGGAGATATTTTATTTGATTCGCCGATGGGCTCCTATCGGATCGGAATTTTGATCGGACATGGTGGAATCCGGTGGAAGGTCTTTCCCGAACAATATTCCCTGGGATTCGAACCGATGCAGGATCAGTTTGTAAAATTCGAAACTGCTGCCTGCGGCTCCGCAGCCTTGGCGGCGGCGGATGGCTCGACGGAGGGAGTCGGCGCCACGGGCTTGACCACCAGCTCCGCTGGCAAATCCTTGATTCCTTTGAGGTAAAAGGTATAGAAAAGCTTGAAAGGGAACACTATCTGCTTCAATTTGACGGTGCCATAAACCCCCTCGAAAATCCCCGATCCGCCGGTTACGGCGAGATACGTATCCTCGTAAGTCAAATACGCGCCCTGCACGGCAATGTGGCCGTAATCGCCGAAGTAGAAGCTGTAGATAGCTTCGAATCTGTCGCCCTTCCGCTCCGGCACGTTCTGGATCAGTACGCAGAGACCGGCGGTGATTCCCAATCGCTTCTGCAGATCGCCGGAGTAAAGCTTGTTGGTGAAGGGGACGAGGTCTCCGAGCGAGTGCACCTCCTTCTGACTCAGCTTCAGGTACGCCGGACTCGCCCGATCTCGCTCGTTGATTTCATACACGAATAGCTCTTGAGCCTTTTCGTCTAAGAGGAAATTAATTTGAAATTAGGGTTTACTCAAATTAGGGCACAAAACTGAAACCTATCAAATTAAATGCCAGGATTGATTAAGTACGCACAATCCACAACCATCCACAAATCATTAAATATGTAGACGTAGATGAATAATTTAATCAGCTTACCCTGCCTTGAAGTTGGCTTTGGTTTGTTCCAGAAGAATGCTTGTGTAGAGAGGCCTCTAGTGGATCTTGCTGTTGGGAGTTTCTGATCACTCCATATTGAAATCTTGAAATCTTTTGATTGTAGTGAGTTTGAGAAACTGATTAAGCAAGGGAGTTTAGATTTATCCCCCTTTAACACCAAACAAGATCTTGATTGAGCCCTGCAAGAAATTGTGTTTAGGGATATGGTACAAGCCATTGATGCTGAAATTAGTGTGAATTCTGAGATAAACAAGATGGGGTGGAGAGTAGAGAAACAGGGTTCTGTTATTCCGGTGTTGTCAATGGAAATGGCTGCCAGCTATATTGAGATTTGTTGGTATGTTGAGATTTGATTACTTTTAGAAAAGTGATGGGAAGAGAAATGGAGAATGGTGCATCATCTGGAAATGGACAGATACCAATTTTAGGGAATATTCAAATATGGCAGCCATTGGTGGTGTGGGGCAAACTAGTAAGTAATATACAGTCATGATGTTACACACATGGTTGGATTATAAAATCAATCTTGTCGGTCAAGTGTTTTTCATTTTTACCATTGGGATCATGGATCTAGGTGCACATTTCTGTATTGTATTATTACTATTGTTTTGCAGCCACGTTTTGGAAAGATGGAAATGGAGACATATGATATGATTGTATCCTGTCCTGGTTTTCTTGCTGGTTTGAAATACTTATAATAAAATGGATTCTTTATTTAGTTAATCGTGTTCATTTTTATAAAGGGTGTGCTTGGTTGGCTTTGTTTTGGATGACTTTGTTTTGGATGACTTAAAATGTTTGGGATGTTGTGTTTTAACTAAAGTAGATAGAATGTTGATTGTGATATTTTTCCATGATGAAAAAAAACAAACAAACAAACACACCCTTCATCTTTGGGTCCATTTAGGTCATTCTTGATCGTGTATTGGATTAAGTATGGGGCTTTTGTGAAAGATTCATTTGTATATCCTAACAATTTTAAGTTTCACTAATTTGTTTATTACATTTTCTTTTGTAATGCATGCAACTTTATGGATCAATGAGGTAAGAGTGTAGTAGTATTATTTATTTATTTATTTTTTATTTGATTAGTAAATCAATCTCAATAAATTTAAATTTAGTAGTTTAGGAGTTATACTGAAGTGGGCTCAGATTAGGTTGGTCTGATCCAGTGAAGACTTGTTGGATGAATAAAAGAATTACACTGAAAACTGGAGAAATATTTAATGATCAGATCAGATCCTTCTCACATCAAGATTAATCATACATCACTGAATTCGACCAAATTTTGTTGATTAATCATACATACATATATATATATATCATATTCTCATTAAATTTAAATAAAAGTTAAATAATATTTTGGATTAGAACGAAGGGAAGGGAGTATAATATTTGTTTGTTTTGAAAAGTTATACATGAAGCCTTATGGACAAATGCATATAAATAGTTAATTTAATATATATGAGACCATGGTGACAAGATTTCTAGAAAGAGCGTATCAGTTAATTAATTAGTTGATATCTAGCTTTCGAATTTTAATTTATTTGCTTGTCTGCTAAGGTATCAAGAAGTATTTTTATTTTATTATTTTGAATATTGTTTGTATATAATTTTTTTTTAATGAAAATAATGATCGAATTTAATAATTTTATCATAAAAACTATAGTAGAAAATAGAGTTTAGAATACAAGTTAACATACCGATGCTTTCATTTGCATAATTTTGGGTTACCACTAATAACCTAATCTTAATAGTCAATCATCTAATAAAGAAGAAGAAATTAAATTCGGTATTCTTGTAAGATGAATAATGTTAACTTTAATTCGAAATTTCAAAAAAACACATTAATTAAATTCAAAATTCTTGAGATTGGACTTGGGCCTTGATAATTGTCTTTGAACATAGCTTCGTTTTTCGACTTTTAAATTTGTCTAAGTTTCGAAATATTGAAGTATAATGTTATTTTATTTTTATCTTTGGGGATGTTACACTACAAAATCGAAAATATTATCGGGAAATATTCATTTTGCAGAGAGAAATTATAACTCAAGTCGATGCAATTATTGAATTATTCAATAATTATTATTCTCGAGATATTTTCTAATAGAAAACCTTTAATTGTTTTGTTTGCAAACAAGGTACCCATGGAAGCACAATATATTGTTAGAATAAAACATAAATGGATTTTGTACAAAATGATTATTCTCTATATATAAAGATACAATTGCAGGGATTGGACAACTCAATACTAGTATGATATTGTTCGCTTTGGGTTGAGCCCGTACGAATTTGTTTTTTGATATTCTTCAAAAAACCTCGTACCAGTGGAATTCACTTTGAACTTAGAAAGTGTAGAATTTTCTTCACAATTTCCAACGTGGACTTGGGTTTGCACCCGAAAAACAATAAACTCAAGTATCTATGTAGCTATGAATTTAATAATTGATACATAGTACATAAATATTCAACATTCAAGGGTTTGTTATACTAGTGTATGATTTTGTGTTGTTATTTAAAGAGTTATTTAAGAGAATTTTTTCATTAGTTTTTTTAAGAGAATTATATTGTACATAAAATTAATTGAAATTAAACTCTAAATAAACATAGCTGAGTTTCTCTATTTGTCTTAATTGTATTTTATTTTTGTATTGTTATGTTTATTGATTTTTATTTTCTTTAGAATGGAGTAGTTGTTGAATACAATATTTCGAATAAGAAATAAAATTTTGATATAATATTTTTAAAAAAAAAATAATTTTGAATAATCTCCAATATGTGATATAAATTAAACACACACCATAAATGAGTTGAATGTAACATAAAAATCAATATAAATCAATTAATATTAAATGAGGTAATGCAAAAGGTTAAAGATTTCACAGCTTTCCAAGATTGCTTTGGTCATAAAATATATACATATACATGATATGGTGTGTACGTAAAATCACATTAATTAAAATTCAGTATCCCTAGGCATCATATTTATATAATAAAACAAGTAATAATTAATAATTAGTAGGACTAACATGTGAAAAAGATTCAAAATATATATATATATATATTTTGCTTCAATATTTAATAAATTAGTTATAAGAGATACAAAGAAAAATATATTATTATTATTTTTATTATTATTATTATATGTGATTGCTTCTTTTTCATTAACATACACTAAAATTTATTCATACAATAGTATTCTATTTTCCATCTTATAATGTAATAGAATTCAAGAGTCATTATTAGGACGTTTCTTCTTCGAGAGGGTTTTTTTTTTTTTTTTTTTTTTTAAAAAATATCATAAAAGTTAGTACAAGTGGTTCTTTTGGATAAATATACTTATTAAACATAGTGTACTAAAAAGGAAAATTAAAATGTAGGGAACTGTAATTAAAACCATAAATCCTATATCAATTTGAATTAAATGCTTGTGATTATAATTTTCTGAGAAAAAAATTATTTTTTTTTATAAAAATTTCTAATATTTTCATAATTAAGCATATGTGTTCCTGGACTCGTAGTCCAGGGACCGTCCATTCTCCATGTACCATGTACAACAACTTCATGCACGGATAAGTGCAATATTTTTCCTCCCAATTATGAATAATTTCTAAAAAGAAAATAATATACCCAAATGAGAGCAAACAAAAGATAAATACGACCAATATTTAGTCAAAACAAATAATATAAAATAAATAAATAATTGAAGATAGACAACCAACCAACAGCCGAAACTTTGTCAAGAACCAAAAAAGAATTTCCATTTAATTTTTTGCATTTCTTTTTTCATGTCTGGTTACTATACAATTGCAGCTTTTCTTGCAACTTGCAACAACATTTCAAGAAAAAATAAAAATAAAAATTACAGCTAATCACTAAATTAAAATAAATTCAATTTTAAATTAAAATGTTACAAAGCATTAATTGCCCTTTGCTTTTTGCTGTAATCCAACCCCAAAATCTCCATCTCCATTTCCCTCATCCTTTTCCCACCGCAGCTACTAACGTTAACGTCGCACGCCACCACGCCGTCACCGTTACCGTTACTCTGTTCCTCGAATATATTCACGCCGAACAGGCGGAACATCTGGACCGGACCGGGCCGGGACCGGACCGGTCCGCTCCTCGATTTCCAATCAATGTACAGTTGCCGGTCGCCGGCGGTGGATTTCTGGAAGGTAACAATGTCGCCGGCGGAGAGATCCTTCTCCTTCACGAATCGGCTCCATCCTTTGGTGAGCACGTAGCTCTGACTCGAATTCCAGTAGGAGTATCGGAACCGCCACACCTTGCCGCCGGCGTCCTCGAAGTTCAGAAGGATTCCCTTCGAATGGCTGCCGTTTTGCAGCGGGAAGTGTTTCTCGGCGTGCTGTTTGGGGATGACGAGGCGGTTCAGCTTTCCGACGTCGCTCGGAGTAACCGCCTTCTCGAAGAGGTGCTCACGCGCCGCCTTCAAATTCGCCGATCGGCCTCCGCCGGAGCCGCCGGTCCTTTTTCCGGCGTAATTTCTCCGGCTCTGGTGTAGCTCGTCGCCGTAGGTGTGCTTCCGGAGCATGTCGACGATCTCCGATTTGGAGTGCGCGCGGAGGAACGCCGCCTCGATTTCGTCGTCCTCTGATTCCGGCGACAATGGCCTGAAGTTCGTGACGGCGTCGCGGCCGCGGAACCGCTGCGCCGCCGTGTCGTAGGCTCTGGCGGCTTCTTCTTCCTCGTTGAAAGTCCCTAACCAGACTCTCTGGTGCTTCTCGTAGATTTGAGCTCCCCACCGGCCGTTGGGCTGAGGAACGACGCCTTTGAATCTCGAAGACGGCAGTTTCTTCGACGATTCAGCTTCGACGCCGTTTTCTGCATCGAGTACTACGCTGGCGCCGCTGCCGACGCGGCGGAGGCTTTCCGGCGGCGACTTTGCCGCCGGCGGCGAGATGGTGATTGATATGGATTCGCTGGTTGTGGTTTCGTCTGCGGAGCTGATTCCGTCCATTGTTTTTGGGATCCGATTGGAGCTTGAGAGTTAATGTAGAGATTGTTGAAGGAGGTGAGGAAGAAGATGAAGTGAGATGGATTTGGGGGAGGAGGAGTATATATAGGACTAGTATTTGTAAGGTAGTTATAGAAGGGGTCCTAGGACCCGAGGACCTGATGAGATTCGTGGCTGTCTGGTCCAGGACCGGGATCTCCTAAGAACATGTACATGTACATACTTATACGTAGTTGTAAATAGTGCTTTCTTTTTACTCTCATTTTTATTTTTAATATATTCGTTAAATTTATTTAATTATTAATTTTGATAAAACTAATAAATTAATATTTAACTATTATCCTTAATTTAATATTTATTTACAATAAATATTATTATTTTTATTACATATTTTTTTATTTTTTTTAATTTTTAATTTACTTTCTAAAAATATTTTTAACTATTTTTTTTATTTTTATCATTTTTTTAATAAAATATATATTTTTTTAATTTTCGTATCGGAACCAAATATTCTAATTTTTGCTACGGAGAGAGTAATATAATATGTACAAGTGTGTGTGGGTGTAGAATGTAGATGAGAGGGAGAGGGAGCGGGAGAGGGGGGTATTGTGGGTAAAGTGGGGTCAACCCTAGCTAGGTAGGTTAGATGGGATGGGATGGGATGGGATGAGATGAGATTAGATTAAATGATATGAAATGATATGAGATGAGATGAACTGAGATGGGGATGGTGGCAATTATAAATATATATGTATGTATGTATGTATTTGTGTGGGATGGGATTGGGGGGTGGTGGGGCTTATAGTAAGGTAAGATAGATAAGGTGAGTGTGGGTGGGGTGGGGAAGGCATGCAAGAAGGCAAGTTGGTGGGGGGTCACATGAGTGTGTGTGTGTGTGTGTGGACCTGCAATATAGTAGTAGTACTAGTACATTCATCCCCCCTCCCCACCCCACCCCTGAGTATGGATATGGTATGTGCATTGGTCTCCTCTCTACCCACACACTCTCATACACACACACACACACTCTCTCTCTCTCTCTCTCTCTCTCTAACTCAACTCAACATCCAAATACAATTGAATCATCAGATCTCACATACTGATGTTGGTCCACAGATAAGAACCTATCTATCTATCTACGGAATAAGATAGATAGTCCATATATCAGATATATGCATGCATGCATGCATGCATGTACACCACACCAATAATAGCAGAAAGAGACAGAGACAAGTGATAACTACTAGCTACTACTTAATTACATTTATCTCTTATTCAAATCAAAAGTGAATAGATCGATATACATATGCATATGCTACTTTACTTTAATTCATTTTTAACTTGAATCAAACTTTTTATATATCGTTAGTGCAAACTCAACCTGCTTTTAATTTATTACTCAAGATACTATTACTACAATTACACACCGGACCTCCAAACTTAATCGTACTTTGGCAACAATAATACTAAAATGGATAACCTCAAAAGAAATCCTCATGTTGGGCAATAAAAATCTACTCTATCTGTCTCCATGAAATGTATCTTTTTAGATGTTTGTAACAGAGTAAAAAATAATACTCCATTCGTCCCAAACTCTCAAACAAAGAGCAACATTTGAGTTTGACACAGGATTTTAAATGGAGAGTATTAAGTAGGATAATAGAAATGAGGTGATGTAATGGAGAAAAAAATGTATATTTTATTTAATTTAATTTTTAGATGATGCGATAAGATAAAGTGTGGAGTAGAGATTACGTATGATTAATTATTTGCTATTTTAGAAATATTGCGGTGTGTTTGATACATACCAAAGATGAAAAGTTGCAGGGTGTTTGAGATGAGAGACTATTATTTTATTAGTTAATAAAAATGTGTAAGGTGATCTTGACATTTTTGTCATTTATACTTTATGTATATATATATGTAATGATATATTGATAGTTTATGTAAAAGTTACACGTGTATTAATATATATGATTATTTTTACTATGTTAAAAAAATTACTTTTAAATATACCAGACAAAAATGGTAAAAATATACTTTCAATTGTATTGGAAAAATAAATAAATATAACTTTATATAGTTTATAGAGGACAATATTGCTTGGTTTTATTTGCCCCCACAAACCTTGGCTTAGTATAACTTATTTTATTTGTTTAATTTGCTAGCTATTAAGTTCTATCAAGAATTTATTTATAATACACTTAAAAAAAAGATAATAATCACACATTTTCAACTCATAAACATATATTTTTTCCGTCTGATAATAAAGTATCCATTTTTCTATTATAGTCTGCCTAATACAAATGAAATTGTTTACTTTGTAATTGGATATCCTAAAATAAAAATATGTATACTTTGTAACTGGACGATGTAATATAAACGTGGGAATATCTGAGAGCTGTGGAAGGACAGGTGTCATCATCGCAGCTATGTATATCTAATCAATCTATTTATGAATCCATCCATATCCATGCATGAACATGAACAAAGAACAACAACAATGGCATAATAGACCCATATGCAGCACTGCAAATACATACATATATATATATATGTATGTATATTATAAATGCCCATGTTTCGATATTTAGCATTTGTCCCATAATTTCTTACATTACCTTCTCCACCATATCTCTCCATATTTCTTTGTCTTATTCCTCTTCTGCCTTCCGCTTCATTTTCTTATTTCTTCTTCTACACTGACATGCACTACACTGACATGCACGACACCTTCTTTACTATCTATATATATATATATATATGTATAATTAAAGTACTTGTTTTGTTTTACTATATTCGTCTCGCTCAAAAATACTATTTTTATATTATAGTAAAAATAATAATACATTAAACTACCAGAAAATTAGGCTATAGTTGCGATAAAGAAAGTCACGATTTTAATACAAATTGGTAACTTTTTTATTTTAATAAAAAGTCACGGGAAAATATATAGAATTATTTATGTGGAATTTTGCTGGTGACTTTTTTTAAGTATTGACATTTATGTGACAATAAGTTATAGAATAATACCATGACATGTCCGTGACTTTATATAGCAACAGAAACTGCAACAAAATTTCAGAAATATTTTATAATAGTGACATTTTCGTGACAATAAGTTACAAAATAATAAAAGAATCTGAAAAAAAATATCATAGTAAACTAAGACATTATTATTATTTTTTAATTAAACACATTTAGTTTAATTATATTATCATACTCTCTCATTTTTTCCACATAATTCGTCATTTTCTTTTTTAAAATTATAGTCATGCATTTTAATCTCATTTTAAATTTTAAAATTTATAATTTTTTAAAATATTAACTAAATTATTCAATTATTTTAATTTTAATATTATCATCTATAATTATTTTTATTAAATAATTAAAAAAATTAATTATGGGAAATTTGTTGTGGGCAAAACATATATATGACCCTGCAGAGTTGTTGATAGTTGACGTAGACTAGGTTATTGTCACTAATTATTATTTCAACACAATTATCAAAGTACTATCATTATTATTGATAGTCCCTCCCAGACGACCTTATCTTCTAACACAGTACGTACTATGTCTTCACCAAACTTTTAATTTATTTATTTATTGGATAAGAATAAGAATAACATCATAGCACCATCCATGCAATTTCACATCATTATCTATTTTAATTTAATTTAATTTAATTTAATTCGATTTCTACTAATATCAACCTTACATTTGTTGCAATAATACGTTTTTCCTCAAAATCATGTATATAATAAAACAGTAGTGATAATAAATAAATTATGGGTGTTCTGTACGGAGAGGGTTCCACTGCAAGTTGGACATGAACACAAAATTTCAATATTTTTGAAAAAATTAAAAAAAAAAAAAAAAAGTGGGCCCACGTGGCGATTCCTCTAATTTAAAATTATTTAACCAAAACAATTTCATGCCACTGGTTCAGCAACATGTCCCTGTCTTATGTAATTGCACAATAAATGCTTTAATAATGCTAATTTTGTCACAACATTATTATTACCAATGTATTTATTTATTTAATTTGTACGTAGAATTATATGGTCGGGGTATTTTAGTAATTTCGCGTAGGATTTTGTGCGGTGATGGGATTTCGATACATTTCATGTGAAAATGTTCGATAGCATATTTATTTATTTTTTAAAAAATTAAAATAAATATTTGTAAAATCGTACGGGCAGTTGTGCCTAATTTTTGCTATTTCCACTCCCATGAAATGGCTATTGCCAGTCTTGACAGGCTGGCTTTGTTGGGGTGGATAATGAATGCTGTCACCTCCAGAACTGACGAGGCAACCTTATTATCCTCGTATTTGTACACGTTTTTTTAAAGTAATATTTCATTTTTTTTTAAATAATTAAATTATTGTTAGTGTATATTAATATAATTAACAAAATAATACATATGCTATGTTGTATTGGTGGAAAATAAATTAATAATATTGGCATCAGATGTCACTCTGAATTGGGATTAATATTTTTAAAAGTGGGAGTTGCACTTATCAGTATTAATCATTTTCATAGCATATTTTTAGAAGGTCTATAATAATATTTTATTAATTAGTAAAAATGTTTGAGTTTCTGATATTTTTATTTTTTAATTTTATGTATAAAGTAATTGCATGTGTAATAATATATTTGTAATTTAAGTAAAAAATAAAAGCATTTTGAAATTATTGTATAATTACTTTTTCTAAAATAAGATAGAAATACTTTTGGAAGTGAAAATGAAAATAGTAAAAAAATTACTTTGAATTGGAACAGATAAATAGTATTTTAAGAAAAATCATATTATATATATATTTTTTAATCCAAAATATTATACTCCATATGTCCTAATTGAAACCTTTTTTTTTTTTCGTTTCAAAGTAAGTATCTATTTTCTATTTTAGAAAAATTAATAAAATAGTAATATCAAAATACTTTTAATTTTTATTTAAATTACACATATACCATTAAACGTACAATTATTTTATATAAAAATCCAAAAAACAAAAATGTAAAAAATTGTTACGCTCTTTCACTAATTAATAAAATATTATTACTATGTTTTTTTTAATC